GACTATGAGCAGACCTTCAAGCTTTTTGTGTGTGAACGTCAAGGACATGCTACAGGTGTGCTCACCCAGTCCCACGGCAACCGCCTATGACCAATAGGCTACTACTCCTGCAGATTGGATGCAGTGGCCAGAGGAGGCCCCTCCTGTCTTCGAGCTGTCTTTGCTGCTCCAGCCTTGCTTGACAAGACCTCGGACCTAGTCCTGGCCCTCACCTTATCCTGCTTGCACCCCATGACATTGCTGCTATACTCAACCTGGTTCAACCCAAACACAAACTGTCCACGGCCCGAATATCACCCTGATGCGTTGCAACACGCTAAACCCCTCCACTCTCCTCCCACTTCCCGAGGGGGGAGGCGGTGAAGAGTCTGAAGACCCCGACCATTCGCGTCTGAAGACCCGGACCCTTCGCACAACTGCTTTGAACTGATGAAGATGGAAACTACACATCTCCCCACTGTGAGAGAGAAGCCCAGCCCTCCCACTTTTTGTTGATGCAGTTTTGCAGATGAGCGAGGCAAGTACCACACAGGCTATGCAGTGACCACTGAAGATACAGTCCTGCAAGCTGCAGCCCTGCCATCAATGATGTCTGCACAAAAGGCTGAACTACAAGCACTGACCACAGCGTACAGACTGGCTGAAGGAAAAAGAGCGAACATCTACACAGACTCCAGATATGCCTTTGGGGTGGCACATGACTTTGGAATCATCTGGAAGATGCGAGGCTTCCTAACGGCCGCTGGAACACCGTTGAAACATGGGCCAGCCATCAAGGAATTCAGAAGAAGCCCGAGGATACATTCCGAAGAAGCCAGAGGCAATCACCTCCCGGACACTGCAGCAAAACAAGCTGCAAGTAAACAGCTGAAAGTGGATGAAGAAGTAGCAGAAAAAGTCCTGACCATCCATATACCAACAGATAAGGCCTACCTAGTCTCAATGCAGAAAGGAGTACATTCAGAAGAGAGACTGAGCTGCGGTAACAAAGGAGCAGTCTACGAGAATTAACTGTACAAAGTGAGAGGGAAAGTCTGTTTACCCAAGTACATGTACCCAGCAGTGGTGCAATGGGCCCATGGAAGTGGACACCTGTCAAAGAACTTGATGAATTCACTCATCAGCAAGTACTACTGGGCCCCTGGAATAACTACAGCGACCAAGAACTACTGCAAAAAAAAAGAATTGTGATTATTGGGGAGCAGCGGCCTGGAATATAGGGACACCCTGGGGGTATAAACCCCAGCCAGCCTATGACAGTAAAGATAATAAAGGAGAGCCCTTGCTGACCCGTCTCACTCTCACTAAGCCAGGGCCCGGTATGACACTTGTTCTGAAGTGAATATACGAAACATTTAGGTGGTATAGTCCCACTACAGTCCCACATTTAGGTACAGTCCCACTCAATATACCCGCGGAGGCAGAAGAATGTTTCCTAAGCCTTTTCGCCAATATCTCCACTAATCACTCGGCATGTGAGCGGTGGAAGGCAGAGTACCCAGTTATAACCAGGGCACCCACACCAGGAGAAGGCATCACGATATATCCTTGGGATTACACCTGTTACGCTCGCCATGTAGGGGAGGGAAGGCATCTGGGCAACTTCTCAAAAGGGTATTGTACCTCTTATAGCAGCGCCCCCGCCGACCTAGTACAGATTCAAACTCAGTCCTTAGGGGATGTGTACTGGTTGTGTGGAGACATGCGCGTGAGGACTAGGATAGGAGGGCGGTGGAGAGGAGAGTATGCTCTGGCAAAGGCTATTATGCCCCTTCACATTCTCTCCTACGACCCATCTACCCCACACCCTGATTCATCGCCCAGTCGTAGAAGAAAAAGGTGTACCCCAGCAGGCAGTTTTGACCCACATGTGTATATAGATGCCATAGGAGTCCCAAGGGGGGTCCCAAACGAGTTTAAGGCTCGAGACCAGGTAAAAGCAGTTTTTGAGTCCTTGATTCCCATGATCACTATCAACAAGAACGTAGATTGGATAAATTACGTCTATTACAACCAGCAGCGGTTCGTGAATTATACCAGAGATGCCCTGCAGGGAATTGCTGACCAATTAGGCCCCACCTCTTACATGACTTTCCAAAACAGGATGGTAATAGACATGATTCTAGCGGAAAAGGGGGTGTTTGCAAAATGATTGAAGGCACAGGAACCTGCTGCACGTACATCCCAGACAACACTGGCCCAAATGGTAAAGTTACCCTAGCCATTAAGAAGCTAGCAGACCTGTCAGCGGAACTAAAGAAGAATTCAGGTATCACAGACCCATGGGACCAATATTTTAATTGGATGACAGGTTGGAAGAAAGCATTAGCCCAAGTAGGTGTGGTGATTCTCATTGTTCTGATCTTTGTCAGCCTAGTAGTCTGCTGTGTGATCCCCTATGCCAAAAAGTTAATGACCAAAGCGATGGATGAGAGTACTTTGACCCCAACCATGATACAGGTAGAAGAGGACACCTACCTGAGTGATGACGAGAAACCATATTCCCCATTACAATCTGTGTTTCCCCAAATATAATACCACAAACATTTTAGATTAGTAAGAGTAGGGGCAGAGACCACCTGACAGTGCATACCCACATGTACCAGAGGTGGATTAGCCCCTCGGACGGCCCCTATGCATGTTAAAAGAGTTCCAGGGGGTGGGCCAGGTGATAGGTAAAGGGACAGGAAAAATCATAATTTGAAATAGTCATTTTAGGGGGGACTGTAATGGATGTGGTTAAGTGACTATGATAAAAATGCCTATTTCAATGTATATATTATAATATACATATGTTATTGCTCCTGTTCATATTAATTCTTAATCAAAATGGCTGCCTAGTTAGTTGCTCAACTTAGCACCCCTCCCGCCCCCCATGAGAAGTACGCAGTAGAAATAGAAACCAAGATGGCGCCTCCAGGAGAAACAACACCCAAGACGAGACGTCAGCACCCTGGAAGGAGGTTACGCTTTAATGAATCAGTCCAATTATAACCTAGAAAGCTATCGCAAACGCTATGTTTACATATACACTATCAGCTGCCTATATAAAACACAACAGTGCGAAACAATAATAAAGAAGTATTTTTACTCTGACTTTCGGTGTCAGCGTGTGTTATTTCTTCACTGATAGTGTGCACACTTTGTACTGAATTTGGCCCAGGGACAGATATATGTCGGATTCTTGATGTCCGAGTCCTAAACAGAGCTGGCTGTCACTGCTAGCTCCGCACAATCGTTTTCTATTGTTTTGTTTCTACTTTTTTAACTATTTTGCTATTCTGCTTGGTGCCACAGAGGGGCCAAGCAGAACAGCTGAGCGGCATTCGACTATTTACTCACTGCTGTTCGGCATCTATGGGAATAGACCGAACTGCAGTGAGTAGACTGCCGGAGGTTCGGCTTAGCCGATCCAGATGTTGAATCGGCTGAGTTGAACTCCTTCTGCACCTTGGGTCGGCTTAACATGCTGAGCATGTTCGGCCGACCCGAAGCCACCCGATGTACGGCTGATTTCAGCCGATATACGGCTGCAATCAGCCGTACAAACCTGAAGTGAATAGCCGAACAGCGTTCGGCTCACTTCACTTCGGGTCGGTTGTTCACTCGGCTGCCTACGGCAGCTTAGTGAATAGAGGGTACCGTATTTAAAAAGGGTTGAAGAGTTTGGAGAAGGCGGGATAGACAACATAGCTGAATTGGAAGGTGAGCTGAATTGGAGAATTTTTCAAAATCAGCTATTTTGGCCTAGATTGCTCACTTCTCCTGCCTTTATGAGACTCTTCACCCTTTTTTGAATAACCCTGATAGTATGTGTGGTTTTTAACCTGAACCTTTAATCCAATTACTGGAACTATGCTGAATCTTCTTAGATCTTTCTATAATCTTTCTTATGACCAGTACAAGTATAAACTGGTTCAGGGTATCCACAAAGCTTTTCTGGTCATACATTGTCAATATATAATTTTATTATACATGCATTTTACCATTTTAAGTCCTTTAGTTGTAGCATTTTAAAGCAGTGTTTTTGTAATGCAGACACTCTGAAATTGCAAGTGCATGGTCTCTGCCTCTTATGCAAACATAGCAGCATAAAGGCACACTAGGAGGGAGGTGTGGAGAGATGTGGAGAGCCTATGACCTCTATGCCTGTGGATCTCAACTGGTGGGTCGTGACCCAAAAGTGGGTTGCCACCTTCTTTTCAGTGGGTAGCCAAATGCCCTCCACTGCGCTAGGTGAGAGGCTCCTCAGCCTTCCCTTAGCACAACATTGTCAGTTCTAATGCCGAGCAGCCATTCAAAATATGCAAAATATGCATATGGATTGGGCTGGGGGTACGGCCATGAAAGAGCTATAGAGAGTCTATGGTGGGCTCTGCAGAGTCACTCTCAGGTGGGCTGTTTGGGATACACTGGGTAAATCTTAAAAAAATATATATACTTTTTTGGGGGGGAATGTGTATGTGTGAGAATATCGATGAGTGTGTAAGATTGTGTCTGTGGTTGTGTTTGTCTGTCAGTGTTTTGTGGGCCCGTTCACATTAGTACAGTGCATTAATAGCACAGTCCCGTGGGATCAACGCACTCTTCGCACTCTTCAACGCAATCTCACCTACTGCCTGTTCGGGTGCAAGAGGTGCATAGCACTGCCATTAATTTGAATGGCACCCCAAATACACCTCCCACTTACAGTTAGTTTGCCTGCACCGAAACATGCAGTAGCTCAATGCCATGCTTTCCAGTGCAGTGTGTCTTGGGTCGCAACTTAATGACCAAGGACCAATGTGGGTCCTGAGGTTACACAGGTTGAGAACCACTGCTCTAAGCTGTTCAGCTAGAAAACCTGAAGCGAACATGTCACAGAGAAACCACAGCATGCACAGTCACTGTTTTTGCATGTGTCCTTGAATTTTAAATAAAAGAATCTGTAGTTCTGCTTCAGATATTATGCATCTGTTTATATGCCTTTAACACAGACACATATATACTTATCAACTCACTTTGGATTTTGTTGACTTGCAGATAGAGATTTTCCAGGCCTTCATTTACCGCCGGAACAGTTGAAAGTGAATTGAATGAAAGATCCAGCTCAAGAAGGGTTGAGATATTGAAAGCATTTCCAGGTACTCCAGCATCTTTGAGCTCATTGTTGGACAGGCGAAGATACTGTAGTGCCTTGAAACCTTGGAAATATTCATCAGGAATGTTGCTGATTTTATTGTTGTCAAAATAAAGCATGCTTATGCTTGGTGGAAGTCCCATAGGTACTTTTGTGAGCTCATTATAGCTTAGATCAAGGTACAAAAGTGATTTTAGGCCTTTAAATGCACCAGAAATTGAGTCTTCTTTCAATTTGTTGTGTTGTAGATGGACAACAGTAAGGTTCTCTAAACCTTCTAAAATGTTGGGGGTAATCTTTGTAAGCTTGTTGTTGGTTACACGCAGGTCATCCATGGTCTTTGGTAGTGGCCCCACAAGTTCAGTGAGATTGTTGAAACTTATATAAAGTTTCTGTAGCTCCTTTAGCTTGGAGAATGCATTTTTCTTAATATTAGCATTGGTCAGATGATTGTGGTCCAGAATGAGCCATTTAAGATCAGTCACATTTTGAAATGCATCATTATCTATGCCCTCAATCATGTTGTTCTGGAGATACAAATACTGAATGCCGGAAGGGACCATTGGAATTTTCTTTAATTTAAGATTGTCACAATACATTGCTGAAGGGTAGTTTGCTGGACAGTTACATTCGGGTGCACAGTTAGCAGTAGAAGGTCCCATAGCTAAGCTTGAATAGTAATCATCTGGTGAACCATAATCATAGTTACCATATTGGGAGAGTACACTGCCCATAAGAAGCAGCCCTAGTATTGGAATGAATTGTAGGTGCATGGTTTCTATTTACACTGAACCTAAAGAAAATAAAAATAAATATTTAAATTAGTATACTATGTACATTTATGTACATTTTGTGTATGTATATTTGGTAAGCAAGTATTACTGGAGCAGTTGATCATGGCAACCAATCAGCGTCTCTTTTCAGTTTGTTCAGTTAAGCTTTGAAAATGAAAGAGAGAAGCTGATTGATTGCCATAAACAACTACTGCAGATTCTGTCTGCTTCAGTTTTTATGAATTCCACCCTATAAGTTAATAATAATTGACCAAAGGAAACTTGTTATTCTTGTTTTTCTTGGATTAGAGAATAACATTCTAGAGGGATAAATTGCATTCAAGTACAATATGTAAAAAGACAAGCACCTTTATTAGTGATCATATTAGGGTTGTGTGTTTTCTTTAGACACATTCATTATATATTAGAACACTTTCAAGTGTCCAGAATAGTTATTTTTTTTAATTCATACTCTGTACTTGAACATACCACAGCAATGACATATGACCATACTGTTTTCATAAGCATTGTGGTATACCAACAACATGTGTGCCAATTTGTTGTACTGTATGCTGTTCTTCTAGTTACCTAGGCTTTGGGGAAAGAGAAAAGGTCCCCAGAAGCACATCAGCCTTTGTACTATTGGCTGCATTATTGCTGGAGGTTACATAGTTACATAGTATTTGAGGTTGAATAAAGACATATGTCCATCAAGTCCAACCTATTTGTGTATGTGTGTATGGTCCTATTGGTGTGTAGTATGTATGAGGTGTACTGAGAGATTCAGGCTTGCCTGGTAGTTTACTTGTGAACTGAGAGAATTAGCTGTTATTTGCTGGATACTGCTCATTTAATTGTGAGCATGGACACTTATTTAAAAAAAACTGGATTTGCATGCTTCAGGAAGCCAGTGTGCTCTGTTTTCTTACTTTTTAGTTGTTTCTGATTGCCCTGCCTGCACATGAGCTGCCGCCTCATTTTTCCTTCATGATTAGTGAGGTATATGCTTTGCAAATAAGGGACACCATTATCTCACTTGGCCCCACCTGAAATGATGTAGGGTTTAAATTCTTTGTATACTGTGTAGTTTTGTTCAATTGAGAAAGCAATCAATACTTGGCAGTTTGCATTCTCACTTTTGTGCCTCCCAAATTCTGTCAGTGATACCCCGTTCTCTGCCTAGCTCTTTTTGTGTCCCTCCCCTTTGTTTCCACCCCAGCTGGTGCGGACGCACCAGGGCCTCCGGCCTCTAGGGGGCCCAGCACAGTCCCAGCGCCGGAATGTAAGCATATGGTACTAGATTTTCAGTGTTTGCATAAAAATCCCATTTTGTGCTGCAATTTAATTGCAGTAATGCACAGCATGATTTAAACATTTCACATTACTAATCGGGTAGTATGTACATCATTTTTAGAAAGCTTTTCCATTTGATGTTTGGCCCATTTGGTATTTATGCCTCACCGATACTTTGATCCTAACTGCAAACAATTTGCTGAGCGGAGGGATGTATTTTAAGCGTGTTTTGTGGTGCAGTTGAAAAATTTTTATGTACGTTTTTATAGCTGTTTTTAATAAAGTGCCTTATGGATTTTAAACTATGCAATGTTTTATCTTCCTCCTGAGCCATGATGGAATAATATATGGTATAAGAAGATTCCGTATATAAGGGGACCATCTGTTAAAGATCCTAGTGGCTGTGTACCAGTACAGAGATTATTAAACAAAAAGAGCGCTATTAGACCATTTATCATACATAGTCCACCAATTTTAGTGCATGCGATGTGAAGGCACTGTAACACAGGATTGAAATGGTGTGGATTCCACTTGAGACAACCCTTCTGCATGTGTGGAGCACATTTGAGTGGATTTTGCCACATTTGGGAAGCACTTTGATGATGATTTGCCGAACACTGGACTTCGTTTTTTTATTGTTGAGATTGGTGTAATGTTTAACAGCAGTTGTTGTCTTTATATTATATAAACTTTGAGCACAGTGCATTTTTTGTTTATATAAGCTCCTCCAAGCTGCCTTGTAGCCATTCCTGTGCCTTTCTACCAGTTAAGAGTGGCTGTGTCATCAGACACACCCCTGCAGAAACTTTTTATGCACTTCAGAATATTCATCACTAGTTAGGCTTTATTTAGTTATTCAACTGGACCTTAGTAGATTTAGTAGCAGTGCTGCTTGTAACATATTCCAGTACTAGCTTCTAGGGATGAGCTGCATCCTAGCTACCATTAATGCTGTGTGGGCCACCAGCATCCTAGCAGCCAATAATCCCACTGCCTGCTGGCTTGGTTCAAATTGTAAGCAAGCCAGTAGGCATCTAAAGTGAAGTCATGTCGTTTAACGGCAGATGTTTATTTTCTTTCTGAAATGTTTTACAGGTGTGCCACTCCATGTGTAGGTTTAAGGCATCGCACAAGCATGTTATTTAAAGGATTTATGTGTTTTATCGTTTCCCTTTATGCCTTATTAAAAGAACTGCCCCCCACTGAACTGAATTTTTTATTTTTATTTTCATTTCTACACATCCTCTATAGTAGTACCCAGCTCCAGTTGCCCTTTGTTTTACAATCACTTCCTTATTATACTTGCAAATGGCCAGAATTGATTTTCAAGATTTGCTCCCTGTAGACTTTAAATATGTTCACAAGGTTGCAATTTGCAGATCTTGTAATGAGCTTGCTGAATGTCCTGTGAATTGAACCAAACACATTCAGCTCATCACTAATCATTATCTTCAGTCTATTGCAAAATTACATGAATTCTTTTCAAAGCCTTCTCTACTGTTATTCAGACATCTTTACACATTTCCACTACAATAATGAACACTATTTTTGACATTTAGTCACTGGCAGGCCTTTTCTAAGTCAATTATACTGCTAGCTGTCACTATTTCCTATTATCACTCCTTACATCTTTTAGTGCCTCAGGTTGGTTTAGTGATAACCATGCACAGACACAGCAAGTGTTAGGCAAGGTCAGTGGATCTGTTAAGGTCAGAGTGGGGATAGTATTTAAACTGCAAGTGAAATCAAGAGTTCAAATCAAGTGCAAACATGTTATATCCAATATAATCTTGTCCACTACTACTAGTAAAGAAACTGGAAAAAGTAAAGAACAGTTACCATACAGTTGTTGTTGTTGGGTCCCTAGCCCTTTGTAGGTAAAGTGTTTGATTCAACACTGGACTGCTGAGATAGTAAAAATATGTGTTACCACTCAGAAACTTAATTTCCAACACAGAGTCATCTTTTTTAAAATCATTAATTTTTAGGAGCAAACATCTATTAAAAAAAATGTCATCACTTGTGTAACTTCCATTTCATTATTAGTAAATCCTGTCTGCAGGGAGTGTGTACTTCATTAAAATCCAGTCAACTGATGATTTTTTGGGACATATATGGACTATTAAGAATCAATAAATTTTCTCTTTTTTATCATTAGTAGGCTTCTTTGCCTGGTCTAAATGATTAAAATGTTTTTGCTCTCTGCTCATCCAGGCTGGTAGTCCACATTTAGAAGGCCATGATGCTTTACTGGTCATGCTATTGCACTGTGTTAATTTATAATAGGACACAGAAGCTTTGGAGGCTAGGCAGTGAGGACCCGCAAACAGAAAACACACAGGAAACAGATGAAGCAGAAACAGGAAACAGAAACATGTCAGATTATCTGTATAGGTTGTTTAATGGTTCATTACTAAAAGTGATTTTCAGTTATAAATGGAATCTGCTGGTCTGAATCACTTGCTAACTCCCTATATCTTTTGAGGATTCCAGGGGTGAGATCTACCTGCCATAGTTCTTTGCCAAATTTCTACACATGTAGAGATTTCTCCACTCCACCTGTTGTGGTTTTGATAATGATTAGTCATAGATTAATGCATTGGGTAAATTGGGGACCTTCATAATACCTGCAGGTGATGTGCAGACATGAGAACTTAAAAGCAGAGGTCTCAGAACTGGAGTTCCTGAGAAATATAGGGAAGGTGGCTACCATAACTGCATCCACAAAAATGTAATCTTCTTTGGGTTTATTGACTCTTAGTAGTGTCCTACCATAGAAGAGTAAAAAGAGCCTGTAAAATATATTCATATATCGAGGTATATAATTTTTTCCATAGGAGATACTGCAGTAAACTGCAATGGCGAGGGGGGTTCATAGTTTATGTGCTAAATATCTTGTCAGTAATCCCACAAATGAGTTATTACTTTAATGGCCACTGTACTATAATTAATACATAATAATTTATCAGAATCTCTAAATTAAAATAGACACTATCTATTTTCATACCAAAAAGCAAGTAAAATACAGGTTATCTAGACTCTGTAGATACCAGCCTACAAAGTGTTAACATGCAAATATTAGTGTAACTAGCTTTTAGATTAATGATATGATTAGAGATAGTGAAAAAGAGGGAGGGCCCTACATGTGCCGATGTGATTGATTTACTAAAGGCATACAGGTTGTTCAATTTGTACTTTGCAGGGGAATTCTCCTTTAGATTGGTGAAGAAGAAGAATGTCTTTGTCTATGCACCAGAATTTGTACACAGCCAAGCGATCATTGGTACTTTAATAACAATATTAATGATTATCGAAATATGATGTTTTCTAACTGGTGCCTGCTGATGTTTGTACACATTGTGTTGTCTCAATCAAACATTTGAGATAAGAGAATAAATATTTACTTTATGAAGGATCTTTCCCTCACATGTAAATAAGTGTTATGCAAAATCTGTCAAACTTCTAGTCCAGAAGCAAAAGTTGAGAATAATGGAACCTTTGTATTTTTTCCACAAAAAAAATCTTATATGACACATTAGCCAACCAAAACTTTCAAAAGCACAGCCCTATTTTTTTTTATTATTGGTATGGCAAATAAAGCTAAAATCATGTTGCAGCATAGATGCTGATTTATGATCCATTTTATATACAGACAAGTGTTGCACAAGTTAAAAATGTGGAAAACATTCTATGAAAAATGTAACTGAAGTTGCAAAATGATGTGTCAGATAGGAAATTGGAAGCAGCTGTAATCTAAGACATCCCACCTTGTGGGTGTAGTCCTTGAAGATTTCCAAGGGTTGGTACTTCAGAAAGCAGAGTCCTTTTTCAGGTGACTTACTGTTTTGAAATAGGATGGTGAACATCATATTTTGTGATACACTAGCAGTATTTATTCAGTCTTAAAAAGGGGGTGACTTTCTAAAGCAGTATGTATTCGATCAGTGATCAATAAATGTTTCACTTGCATATTCCTTTGTCTGAGTTTTCTACATCAGTATAGAAGGTGCATCATAAAATGTCTGTTGTGCAATCTTATAAGATAATGAGTATTGTATCAAATAATAAATACTCATACCTAATACTTAGGGTTGATTTTTGATTGAGCCAATAAGTGATTAATCTGTGCACATACAGAACACTGATATGTGTGCTCCCACAATCTAACAAATTTTCATTTTTCCCTGTCCCTACTGCAGCAAAAAAAAAACACTTTTACAAGCAAAATTAACTGTATGCATATTTATAGTTTTAAATTCAGGACTTCATATTGTTTTTGTTTAATCTGTCATTGATAGTTCTGACTTCTCTCTAATTTGTTGATAAAGCCAGAGCTAAACTGAATATTTTATTTTTTTAAGTCTAAGTTTATGTATACTGAGACAATTGAGTATTAAGCACATGCATAAAAAAGTAAATTGTATTATTTTCTATGATTTGTAAATGAATGCACATTTATCCTCAAACATATAAACACATTCATTAACAATATATAAATATAATTTCTATAATAAAAAAACACTGCATTTGATCTTATACAGTGAATAGAAAAACTCAGGATAATGCATTTCATTAAAGTAATCTATTTAAAATAATTGGCTGTCTTTATAGTGGTGTCTTTACACCTATATTTTCTTTTATGTATAAGACTTTTTTTCAATCCTGCTCCACTGGAATTAACATACCACAGTTATGTGCTTTAGACTCAAATTAATTTCCAAAGTCTAGTAATTGAAAGGAAGCATTACTGACAAAAAAAGCAAAATGTATATTAAAGTGCATTGGTGGTAAAACTAAACCACAGTGCGTTCACTGTGTTCTAAAATAGCTTTCAAAACATTAGGTATAAAAGGAAATTGTACAAAATCAGAACATAGACTTAGTATGAGTTCCTTAATAGCTGGCAGAGATAAACAAAAATAATATTGTTATCATATTAATGCAAATGTAAGTATGAGCCACAATGTTGCTTACCTCTGTTTGATGCTGCTGTCTTTAATTCCCTACGCAGATTTAAAAAGAGACTGAATCAAATATCATGTGCTGTAAACAGTGTCAGGAGAGGACTGCCTGCCAGAACCACTGTAATACAGAACAGCAAAAAGAAAAAGAGAGAAGAGAAAAAAAAAACTAGTCACATAGCTCTTATGTCATGATGGTGAGTTTGTGGTGTGGCATGCAAAATTATTACTCTGAGTGAGTGCAGGTGGAAGGCTATCAAAGCACAGCCCATCTGTTGCACGTTTCAAACAGAGAATTCAAGTTAAAAAAAAAAGTTTTCTGGAAGTTTTATAACGTATGTAGTAATCTACTATCCAAAGGGTTTAACAGGAATGAAAGAAGCAAAACAAAGAAATATACTTGCTGCGCTTTTCTCTCAAAATCAGGGATTTGCAGAAACCCTGGAGCTTAAAAAACTATTTAGGTATTGTTAGTATTCTCTGGTTAGGCATAATTCAGTGCAAACATAATAAATTGAAATAATATATTGTTGACAGTGGGGATCCCTGCTGTAAAGAAAAGACACGTATGTAGCGTTTAAGTGCTCTGTAACATTATCATCCATTTCTGGTTTCCTATAGTTCTTTTCTAATGGGAATCTTTTGTGTTTCTAACTCCTCTAATGGAAGGTGCCTTTGCCTGACTCATGGACCATGTAGTAGTTGACGTGCAGTGACATCACTTGCAGTGATGCTGAATAGTTTCAGTTTTACCGCTCTAGAACTGCTGCAGAGTCAGAGAATATTACCTCGCATCAGATCCATTTGAGACAGCTTTTTGTGACAGATTCCTTTAGAATGACACATGAGGGTATAATTGGCTCTATTATTCAATGAGCTTATAATTTTAGAAAACATATAGGACCAGCATTAATATCAAGGAATGCAGGATATCATCATGCTGATAATAAGTTAAATCAAAATAATGTGCACTAGAATGTGGTTATCAAGCTGGAGATCTTTTTTTAATTCTTGCTCATAGACCACAGAGTGCATTGATTCATAAATGACATAAGGCTCTATTTAAACCTTTGCTACTATTGCCTAATTTGGCAAAAAGACTGTATCGCACAGTAGGACTGATTATTAAAACAATAATTCCATGCTTATATTATGCTCTTGAATAACAGGGTGACATCAATGCTTCAAAAAGCTGACCTATTAGAATATTAATTGCAAACAAACAGAAAAATTGAGTCTTTTCCAATGTTTTTTATACTGTTGCTAAATTGTGTTCATGGTTTTTATACTTGCCTCTTGCCAATTGTAAATGCTGAATGCTGTAGAGATATATTCAGCACATTTAGGGCTCATGCCACCTAGTGACCTAGGCAGCATTTGCCAAGCTTCCTTTATTACAAGGACACCATGTAAACTCAATAGTGTGTACTCAAGCTGATTTCACATTGTTGATATTTACATGTTGGCTCTGAGCAGGCCAATGGAGTACATTTGCACTGTACGCTGTATGCTCATAAACGTGAGTACAAATGTTTACCTGTGCGCATCATAAATATAGTCAATACGCAGGACAGTGGATGCAGATCTTTCTGTTTTAATTTTACAGATCTGAAGGCAGCGTACCTTTACTCATCTTTATTCAGCTGTGTGCATGGGCTCATAGAAAACAATACACCCCCCTTTCAGATCTATATATATAAAAAAAAAAAGCACCATACTGATAAAAAAGGCATAAGCCTTTAGTGTTCACCAACAGCAGGAGCCAGTAAGCACAGTTGTAACTTTTTAATAGTCACAGACTGCATGGAAAAAGGAATAAGTGAGAGGAGGTTATTTATTTCTCCACTGTATTAGTGCCAGATAATACGAAGCAGACATACTGAAATAGATTATGCTGATGTAAAAACACCTTAAATGTGAACTTGCCTACATCAGATACACTTAAACATGTATCATTAATTGCTTGCAGCAGTTTTTCAATCTATAACTGTTAAATAAATAATGTTTATAGCTAATCAAACTTTTTAGCAAATCCTATATTTTTACTATACAATACATGTGCCTCTACTTAAAATGTTGCTGCTTCCAAAAGTCTGAATTTAATCAGTTTTGGTAATGATTGCTGTTCTTTCCATGGAAACTTGTCAAGAATGTGTGGCTAGTTGGCTACACTTTGATGTGAAACTGTTTCCACTGCAGATAATACTCCTGACCGCTTCAGTCTGTATTTGGTCAAAGAACTAAATAGCATTAAGGGAAGATGAAGTGTAAGGTTCACTATTAAGATATGATGGCCTCCAGTGAAGCCTAAAGCACACACACATGCAAGTTAAACAATTAAAATTGCTGAGGAGTAATCAGCAAATGACCCTAAAACGTCCTTAAATTATACTGTATTGTTGATTTTAATGATACAGTATGGTGGGAAGAATTCTTTTGGATCTAGGTTACAGTTAGATATGAAATAATATTTAGAGCATTGTTCAAAGCAGAATTAAGACCCGTTCTTGTTTTGATACTGGAGGCATAATAGTTAAAGAAACAGATGATTTTTTTTACAACTAAAACATGCATTTGCATGCTTCAAGGAATTGCTCTAGAGGCTTTTTAGTGGAAGCTGAAATTGTGCACAAGCAGATACTTGTATAGCAATTCACATACATGGCATAACTTTATCAGTGTGAAAGTAAATGTTACTTATAGTGCTACTACATATTTAGCAAAAACTGCAATGGCAAACTGAAAAACAGATAAATGTCTGGTAACTCTTCTGCATTTTCTGACCAGTTCTGGCATAATTATTCCCTATGTATAGGGGAGGTATGCCATAGTGTTTCAAAATCAATTTGTTCTACGTTTCAAGCTGCCAAATTGAAGTGAAAATATGACTAAAGAGCAAACAGCAGCTTAAAAAAATAGTGTTAGGGAGTGCTACATATATGTTTTAATATTATAGAAAAACATTAGGCAGGGTTGTTTTTAGGATCCTAAAAGGCCCAGGGCACTGTTGAGAGTTACAATTTTGGCATGAATAGGATGTCCCAAAGAACAAACATGGCCAGAAGTGAAGTAGTCTTAAAGTGTATGTTTTTTTAATTCTTTGATTAGTTTAGAAAAAGGCTAAAATCCCTATCCATTTTTTTTTTCCCCGATGTGCCCCACAGGGGAGATTTCCCTTCACTTCCTTCCCAAAGTGTGAGTAATTCCCAACTTAGACATTTGTCACTGTAACATTGTCCCCAATGGATGATTAACCTTCTGTTTCTGTAACAATTAAAAAATGCTGAACTGTATAACTGTGCTGCTAGAGGTTTATAATGGTGTTGCAGAGTGACTTGGGGGGTTATTCACAAATGAGCCGAAGGATCCAGCCATAGCTATGGCTGGATCGTTCAGCTCACTTTGGCCGATGGAGCCCTTCGGTTCAGTCAAACCGAAGGGCTGCTGTACGAACTATTCACTATAGCCTGTACAGCAGCCATAGGCAGCTGAGTGGCTCAGCCGAGCCAAAGGCATATGCCAAGCGTGGAGAATAACAGCGAGGCAGAGCCAGTCGTGATCTCACGGATTGCTCCGCCCAGTTGTAATGACAGATCAGCGTCCCCAAATGAACTGGGGACACTGATCTGTCATTAAACAATAACAACTGTGTGGAGGCGGCAGTGATGTCACCGCCGGCTCCGCCCAGTTGTTATTTATGGGCCGGAACCTGCTAGAAGACTCTGGCAGGTGTCGGCCAATAGGAAACAGTTGGGCAGAGCTAGCTGTCACTGCCCAATTGTTTTTATTTTGCTGTCATCTGTCAGGTGATTCATTATGCTGCGGGAGTCCGTCGCATGTGGTCAGGTCGACGTGCGTCGGGTTTTAAAAAAATCATTTTTTCTTCTTTTTTTTCTTTTCTTTAAAATGTGTATTTTTTAAATTATCGTATTCTTCTACATTTTTAAAATAATTTTTCTTTTTTTTTAAATTTTACTTATTTTCTATTCTGCCCGCTACCTCGGAGGTACCAAGCAGAATAGCCGAGCCCAATGCCGCTCAGTGGCATTCGGCTATTCACAGAATAGGGGCGAACGGCAGCAAATGAGCTGACGGAGCTTCGGCTCAGCTGATCCAGATGTTAGAATGGCTTAGTCGAAGTCCTTCTGCACTTCTGCTCAGCTGAACATGCACAGCATGTTCAGCTGACCGAAGGCAGCCAATTTACGGCTGATTTTAGCAGATGTACGGCTGAAATCAGCCTTACGAGGCTGAAGTGAATAGCCGAACAGTATTCAGCTCACTTCACTTCGGCTCGGTTATACATTCGGCTGCCCTGGGCAGCTAAGTGAATAACCCCCTTGGTATTTTAATGGACCTGCTGTTGGGGCCCTCGTCTTCGCAACATGGGGACAAGGTGCCTTGGAAGGGGAAAGGCTTTACCACATGCTGCTCGCTGCCCCTCCTTTCTTAGCTAGCCAGGCTACATTCCTGGATAGCGGTCTTTATATAGTTTTAGGGATCACACGCTTTAAAAAAAAAAAAATTTAAATGGCTTGCCTGCCCTTTAACCACTTGCTGACCTGGGTGTTAAACCCCCTCCTGTCCAGGCAATTTTTCAGTATTCAGCACTGTGGTACTTTGACTGACATTTATTCCGTCATGCAAAGCTGTATTGAAATTAATTTTATAACATTTTTTGGGGACACATAGAGCTTTCTTTTGGTGGTATTTAATCACCTCTGGGGTTTTTATTTTTTACTATATGATGAAAAAAGTACCAACATTTTGGGAAAAAAATGTTTTCCCTTAGTTATGTTATAAAACATTTGTTATTACCCAATTTTGTGGTAAAATATAAAAGATGAGGTCATGTCGGGTAAATAGACACCAAACAGGTCATGATTTAAAATTGCGTGCGTGCTCAAAATTGCAAAAAACTACCATGCCTAAAATTGGCCATAGGCGACGCTTTAAAAGCTTTTAATGCTCATCAGTTTAGTGTTATCAGTGATTAATGGCCCTAAAATTATTGCTCTCACTGCAACATTCGTGACAATATGTAGCATGTGTAGCGTAATTGTTTTTCCACATGTAGGCGCACGTTTATAAGTGCATGCACATGTGGATGGGGGGACTTTTTTTTTTTTATATGAGACTACTTTTTTT